TCGCGCAGCCGCTGCAGCCAAGTCCGCAAGAGCATCGCTCATGCCCGACAAAAACCATAGTCCGCCCACTTAATAAAAGTTCCATTCTAGACACTCCGTAGGCAAGTCGAACGCGGCGTGCTTCCAACCGCGCAAATCCTTGGTGCGTACTCCGCAAGAGCATCGCTCATGCCCGGCAAATACCATACTCCGCCCACTTAATAGATATTCCATTGTCAAAAACCAAGTGCAGAGCAGGGTTTCGATCGTTTGCTCCCGAACGGCCTTAGCCATGGCTTCGTTTTCGTGGGCTTGTGGAGCCAAAGGTTCGATTGAACCATCTGCCAGCACATGACTCTGTCACAGTCGCATTGCAAATACTGTGCCACATCCAGCACATCCTTCTCGATGCCCTCTCACGATTTCGACGTGGGTATGTGGGTATGTCATTTCAAGTCTCTCATGCCTTAACAAGCGGTGGCAACAACCGTCTAATCACCAACCCCCTCCATCGCACCACCGTCGAGAGCCTAGACGCTGTGCGCGTCCAGTCGCACAATCCTTGGCGCGTTTGCGCCTTCGCTCTAGCCTCCGCCAGAGCATCGCTCACGCGGCCAACTTCATGACAACAACCAGGCCGTAGCAGTCAAAAAGGACCGGTCAGCGAGCGCTGGACGCGCGGTGTGTCTGTGAGTTCGTTCTCGCCGGATGCGCGGTGCGTGCAGACAGCAGTGTCTGCGAGTTCGTTCTCGCCAGGTGCACATCGTCTACATCTTCCGTCGGTGGGGGACCGAACAACCCCTCCCTGTGCAAGACGGGGACCGGGACTTCGGGCGTCCCGGTAGCATCCTTCTCGCGAAGGAGGCTGACCGCCCGGGCGTATACCGAGTATACGCCGAAGTCGGGAGAGCCGTCTTGCACATTTCCTGCCATCTTTCTCTCTCTCTCTCTCTCTCTCCTCTCTCCCTCCCCTCTCTCTGTCTGTCTCTGTCTCTGTCTCGGTCTCTGTCGGTCTCTGTCGGTCTCTGTCTGTCTCTATCTCTGTCTCTGTCTGTCTCTGTCTCTGTCTTCTCTGTCTCTCTGTCTCTGTCTCGGTCTTCTCTGTATCTGTCTTCGCTGTCTCTGTCTCTCTCTCTCTCTCTTTGTCTCTTTCTCTCTCTCTCTCTCCCTCTCTCTCTCTCTCTTTTTGAGACTGTGTGGGGCCTATGTTGCCACATCTTGAGGCAATCTTGGCTCATCTTGGGGCTATGTTTCCCATATCTGAGAGCTAGGTAGGGTCATCTTGCGGCTATGTGCGACTGTGTGGGGCCTATGTTGCCCCATCTTGGGGCTATGTGGGCCATATCTGAGACCTATGTTGAGTCCTCTTGAGGGCCTCTGTCAGATCATCTTGGAGCACATGTTCCGCCTTTGCTCTTAGCACGTGCCCGACACCCACGAAATGTCGATTAAGCCTGTCCGCGCGGCACGCATAACTGACACCACGGGCACCCTGTCGTGGACGCCGAAGGCCACGAAACACTGTAAAAAACGATGTTTTTGAACATTTTTCGAACATCCAGCGCAAGATACATATAAATCTGTCGGGCGGATTTGGGCGGGGGTCGGGCGGGGGTATCCCCGCGGTCCAACAAAAGGGTCGGCGGCAGGGGCGGCGAGCGTATATAACCTTCGGTTACCACCGAAGGCCTCCGGCAAGGACACGGGCCCGTGGCCGGCGCCCGGATTTAAGGGCTGCCGCCCCTGCCGCCGACCCCGGATTCTCAGGTCCGGCTTTTCCTCCACTGGTTGGCATTGCGAGGGTTTTTCGAACAGGGGTTTCAGTCGTCCTTTTAAAGGTTGCTCTTCTGGAATCGTCGTTTCTTTCCGGTGTCGAGGTCCGTGCCCGTGCGGAGCGTTTCATTGCCTGCTCTGGATTGTTTGCTAGCATATTCCACCACTAACCAGCCTCCCAAAAAGCATCTGAAACCACCCCTTCGCCACGCCTTTAACCCATTGAGTTCAGCTCCAAACGAGCCCCAATTCCTCGGACGTTCGGTGTCAAACGGACGCTCTGGGTCCCTAGAAAAAGCATCTGAAACCACCCCTTCGCCACGGCTTTAACCCATTGAGTTCTGCTCCAAACGAGCCCCAATTCCTCGGACGTTCGGTGTCAAACGGACGCTCTGGATCCCTAGAAAAAAAACAATTTGCTAGCATCTTCCACCACTAACCAGCCTCCCAAAAAGCTTCCACCAACAGCCTGCCAAAAGCTTTCCAGCCTCCCAAAAGCATCTGAAACCACCCCTTCGCCACGGCTTTAACCCATTGAGTTCTGCTCCAAACGATTGAGTTCTGGCGGATCTATCATTATTCCCTGGCGCGCTCCCCCTTGCGTCGGCCGGGGTCGGCGGATATTGCTTGGCTTAGATGTTCGAAGACCAGTTCAAGTGCGGGTCTGAAAATCTAAGGTAAACAACATGTGTGTAAGGAACAAGTTCTACATGATGTTGAAGCTTGCGCTTGAAACATGTCACATGTTGTCACCTTTTTCCCTCGTGGTGATGCGTGATGCGAAATTCATCCATCCATCCATCCAGCCATCCATCCATCCTGTTGAGCTGGTCGCCGTGGCCGCTCCCCAAGGCTGCCCCATCCTAGCCCGGAGGGCCGCTGGCTCGTGCCACGTGACCGGCAGGGTCGGGCAGGGGAGCCCCAGTGGGTGACGTGACACGCCTCCATGTTGGCTTTTGTGTGCTTAATGCTCACAGGTGAGGGGGACAGTGTTAAGAATGGATCGTTGATGTCTGAAAGAAGAAGAAGAAGAAGAAGACAAAGACAAAGACAAACACAAAGACAAAGACAAAGACGAAGAAGAACAGGGAAAACACGAAGAGTGGCGAAAGAGCATAGGGCGCAAAAAGGACACACTACCCTTTGGATGTTGGAATTTCTCTCTTTACATTCACTTTGAGTATACCCACTACCCCACTACCGGGGTGTGCCCCAACGGCTCAGTCAAACGCCCCCCCCGAGGTGTCACTCGCGCTCGTGGATCCCACCACAGACGAGGCAGAGATCGTGTGCGAGCCCCTCGGCGGAAGGAAGGGCGACCTGGAAGTGAAATTAAAAAAACCTTCCAAGTGTTGTTCCCTCCACCCAGTAACTATGCAACATGGAAGTGGAACATAATGGAACATGGACCCATGCATACCCATGCAAGACTCTTTTCCTCTACCAAGAGGGGGTTGGGTTACACATCCGCGGCGACGTGGGTCCAAGAAACAGCTGTTCCACGTGGTTCCACCGTCGCCGCGGGCGGGGTCCTCGACCTCCAGAATTCAGCGAACGACCGGCGAAGCGCACGCGAACGACGATACTGTCGACGGCATAGACGGCTAGAGGGAGGAGGCGCTTCTAGCCGTCAAACACTGACAATTGGACGACTGAGGTCAAAGTCGTGTTTGTATCTACGTAATCCTTTTGGACACCAGATGCCGCAAGTGTGGATTTGGATGGTGTTGATGGATCGAGGTTTCTAGTTAAATTCACATCATATCGAGTAGTACATCATTTTCACTAACCACTTGTGCTCTTTGAGCAGTCCAGCTCAGCGGTCCAGCGCCTCTTGGCGCTGTGGATTCCTGACTTCACCGCGGTGCAGTGGGGTCATCCAGCCCTCCGTCCACACCTCAAGGCACCTGCCACCAGAAGCCCATTTCACCGCGGGTCGCGAGTGGGTGGCCTGGCCGGAGCACCCAGAAGCAGCACCAGGGTGAAGGCATCATGGTATGTTTGTTTTCCCCCGGATAGCTCAAAGCTATAGGCAAAAATGGG